GGCTTTGAAGTGTTGGCACCTTTTGAGTTAATATTTTTCTCTCAGTGGAGGGCTTTGATGGCCTCTTGTAACATGGATGATTTTCACTTGTTTGAGAAAATCTGGTACTGTTTGGTCTTTCACTCATCTCACGTGACTCATCCAGCTGCCAGTAACAGCGTTCCTTTTCTCAGTGTTGTCGTGGTAAATTTTGGACGTCGCATCCAAACAAAACCAAGAATGGCAAATTTTTTTTTATAGGGAGTAAAGCAGCAAGAAAAAAAAGCAAATGACCTAGTTTGGTCTTTACTGCAAAACCCACAATGCTCTGGGGATAGCTAAGTACGTTAGGCAAATATTTCAAATCTATCTCTATTTTGAATGTGAGTCATTTCAATTATACATCATTTCAGTTATTTGTTTATTGGCCTTGATTAGGTAAACTCCACAGCCCTGCAGCATGTGTTTATTGTTGAATAATCACCCTTTTGGTGGGTTCTTACTCTTACTTATCTACAGCCTTAATAGCTAATTTCATTAGTAAGAGTGAAGCCTTCCTGAATGGTAAGCAAGATGTTTCCCACGGAAGAGGGAGAGCTGTTGCCCTCTAGTAGGGGTACTTTTAAATATTGATCTCATTGTTACACAGACAGGTTTCCTTTGGTGCTAGGAGATGCTGTTTTCCTCTAGGAGAATTTACCCCTAGCAAGAAATGTAGATCCTGACCAGCGTGAGCCATACTTCCTGAGGTGTGTAGCCCCATCACAATCAATGGGACCAGTTCTCACATGACTTAATCTGCCATAGATAAAGGAAAAACTCCTCTGAAGTCAGTTACATGGGAATGAATGAAGCAAGATATTGAAAATTGAACTAACTTGATTACTCATATGGAAGGAATTGCCTGATTGCAGCCTTTGCACACTACTGTATCAACCTCTTCCTGTTCCCTTCATGAGCATTTAAATGTGAAGATATAAATCAAAACTGCAGGACTGAAACAGACAAAAGTTACCTTGATGGATTCCACTTGCACAAGATCCTTCTGGAAACCATTCTGCTTTTATTAGGTTTACTCTCTGTAAATTAGGATTAGTTTTATATATGGATTTATGAAATAGCTATGTTTCTACTGAGAGTGGGGTGAACCCTCTCGTATAAGGCAGGGAGTATGTGTTCTTTTCATCTGTTATTGGTAAGTTACTGTATGTAGGTTAAAGGCCCCTCGATACCAGTGAAAGAGGAGATCTAATTCCAGACGTGGAAAATACTTAAATCTTGTGTGTGCCAGCCAGTGATATTAATATTGTATAAAACAGCCAGTTGTCAAAGGGCCAGATTCGGTTCTCAGTTACGCTGGTGTAAACCAGGCTTTTTTTCCTTTTTTTCTGAGGTAACAAATTTGCTTTTGCATATGCTTGAACAGCTGGACACAGACTCTGTCTGTCCATGTTCAGAGATCATCTCTCAGTTCTTGTTTTATTTGCTGTGAGGGGAAAAAAAAGTGAGCCGCTGGTGCTGGAACAATGACGGACAAGGGACAGCTCCCTTGTGGTGGGCACATTTCTGAGGGCTTTGATGCAAGTGTGACTTCACTTAAGGCACTGTTGTGCAAAAAATTTTTAACTCATGTTAATAAATCTGCAAGGTAGTTTGTGAAGGCAAATACATGATGGATTGGCTGAAACACACATCATTTCACGGATTTAGGATAAGTATTCTGTTCCTTTGCAGGGAGAAAATTTATTTTCTGATTTGACAGCTACAGGAGAAGATGATAATTTTTGACAGCACAGGGTAATGTTCATGTTATTCTAGGAAATCTCCATCTTCACACAAATAGATATCAGTGTGTGCTGCAGTTGGTGTTGCTGAACTTTGGTGGAAGCTTCAAGTTTCTGTGTTTTGATAATATGATAACATTGAGAAAATGCATATTAAGAAAACCCTAATAAATTGCAGACTTGTATCATTCAGGAAATGAACAATAGTGTTTCCATTATGAGTCCAGTATAAATCTTAAACATTTTTAAGAGTCCGCAGTATTTTGGAGGGAAGATACATCTTGAATATATTGGTATGGAAAAATTGAGGAACTGTGAATTGGATATTGTAGCTATAACTGATTTACCAGCTTCTCTTGGTGAGGTGACCTCTAAAAGTGTATAGAACTTATTTCTCCAGTTTTCAACAGTGTATTTAGATACCTTTTAAATGTGATTCGTGTATCCAAATTAAGAACCACAGATTATACGGTCTTGTTAAGGTAGATATTACCCCTCAAGTGACTTACATCATGATGGGATAAAGCCAAAATAGGGATGGAATAAAGCCCGATGGATTTGTGGACTCCAGGGTATATAAGGATTGTTTATGTCATAATTGCAAGCAGGGTCCAGCTAATGGTCACAAACACCCACTATAACCTGAAAGGCACCCAAAGTGATCTCATCAAAAGCCTCATTCCAAAACCACAGGATAGAACTGACTGCCCTGTGCAGACCAAAAGGTGCTGCATTTCTGTACAGCTTCTTAGTCTCTTCAGAATCATTCAGAACAATGTCAGAGTATCAGTGAATTCAGAATATAAATCTGAAATGACTAGAACATGTATGAAGAAACAGCATAAAAATATAAAATCATGCTGGCCTGCACTTCCTAAGGCTTAGCACAGTGTGATGGAGCTGGGTAGGAAAAAACTGGTATTGTTTTTCCAATTTTAAAGATTCTGACTTCTTAAAAAAATACAAATCAAGTAAGTAAATGGTCAAGCCAAACACTGAAAACTTTTCACGGGAAACAGGGAATTCTGTTCTGGAAATGTCACAATAATGCCTCATGAGACTTGTAATTTGGATGTCACGTGTACCCACTCTTTTCTATGGATCTGGATGCTTGCCTGGACTATGTCTTCATCTGCCATGGTCTTCCCTATTACAATGGTGCCGTGGAGCATGATGGGGAGGCTGTGGACCCCAGCCAGTGGAGGAGAATGGACTTTTGTGCTGTGATCCCTTTCACAAATTCTCTGGTTACCACAGACTTTTTTGCCTTCTGTAGTCACCTGTTTCTTCTCATTTATACTTACCAAAACCCTGAACATGATTCTCATCACTTTCAAAGCATTCAGTGACTGTAATTATAGAGGACCATGGCAGCTCAGGCTCTCCCACTTGCTTTTCGTTTGCTATAGGATTAGAACTGTAGACTCATAGAATCAGTTAGGTTGGAAAAGACCTTAAGATCATAGAGTCCAGCTGTAAATCTAACACTGCCAAGTCCACAAGTATTATCAGCTGTCCAAAAGAGGAAACGGGTTTGTGTATGCTAAGGGTACCTTTGTTCTCAGGAGCTGTGCTGAAGCAGTAACTGACTAAAACGAGCATAATCTCTGGTTGAAACTTCATAAAAGAAGTAACAAAAATGCAGTGGTTGCAGAACTTCATCACTACAGTTTAGCTTACCCTTTTGTACTGAAAATATCATTAACTAGCTACTGTGATATCTGCTTAATTGTGTTATATTATACCTTTATAATACCTATATAATATGGGTGTAATACTTGGTACAGACTGAGTGATGAATTGATGGAGAGCAGCCCTGTAGAGAAAAATGTGGGGACACTTTTGGATGAAAAACTGGGTTTAGGCTAGCAATGAGTGCTTGCTGCCCGGAAAGCCAACTACATCCTGGGCTGCATAAAAAGACACATGGCCAGCAGGTCGAGGGAGGTGACTTTCCCCTGTTACTCCATGCCCAAGAGCACTGTGTCCAGCTCTCAGGCCCCCAGTACAAAAAGGAATTGGACCTGTTAGAGTGGGTCCACCGGAGTGCCATGAAAATAGAGGGCTGGAACACCTCTCTCTCTTGTGAAGAAAGGCTGAGAGTGATGGAGGTGTTCAGCCTGGAGAAGAGAACGCTCCAGGGAGACCTTATTGTGGTAAAGAGGGCTTGTAAGAAAGATGGAGAAAGACAAATTCCAAAACATTGAATGATTCTATATTGATATATATACCTGCTCTGGATAACACCGCAAGTTGTAGTGTTGAAATAGTAGAAATTGTGCTGTCAATGGCAGGTCCAGTATGGGTTTCAGTAGAAGGACCAGATCTGAGAGCAATGTAAAACAGGTTATTTGTGGTGAGGATGTTTTTAAATCCTATGCCTACTGAGAGGGATTAATTTTGCTCAACTGCAGCTGTCCAGAAGTCAGGTACTCAGTAGTTGGTTGTTTAAGTGCCTTTTATAGTCAAGGGGGTGAGGAAACCATGTCCTGCAGTTGTGCAAGTCCATCTTAAAACATTTTGAGATGGCTGAATGACATAGATGTTGTCTGCATAAAACTCACAGAGAGCAAAACTATGGTGAGAGGAATTGTGCGTTACAACACCTAAGTAAAGGACAAACCTTGATGCTTGTGAGAATCACTGATATGCTTGAAACTGAGCGAAAGCTTTATCTTTCCAGTCACTTCGCCTGTAGAAAATTTTTTCACACTGTTGACCTGACAGTTAAGTAGAAACATGCCCATCTAAAGTCATAATCATAGAGATAATTGTCTGCAAAGAAAAACTTGACTTACGTCACTGTTTTTAGAGAGCTTCTCTCCCTGAAAATAAAGGAACTCTGAAACATCCCTCTCCAAAATCTAACACAGACAAGACTCTACCATAAAAATACATAGTAGGAAGGCAAGCTATCAAACTGAGGGGTTTTTTTAGTTAGTTTATGAAGCGTAAAATAACCACAAAACCTAAAAAGAGAAATAAACAACCGTAATTCACAGATCCAGATTGCTTTGCAATTAATTTTTGCTTCTTTGTGAAACCTTTTATTTCCACTGCCATATAATTTACAATAATTTTACAAGGACATCCAAAATAAGCCTACAAAATATGCAAATAAGCAAAAAATAATGAACTTAGAGAGTTCTTAGTCAAAGGGTTATGATTTTTTTTTCTTTTTTTTTGACAGTGAATGGTGGCTACAATCATTGTAATTTGATCTCTGAGAAGAAGAATATGATGGACATGGAGATGACAAGTAGCTCTGTACCTGTCTGCAGACAAGGTTTATTCATCCACGCAGGAAACCCACTTATGCGCGACCACCCACTGTCCTGTGAGAGACTCCTTCATGTTGGTCAGCTGAACTTGACACACTCGGATATAAGGTATTACTGCAAGGTTTATCAGCTGATGTACTTAGGTCTGCTGGAGAGCTTCTTTGTTAGAACTGTTTCCCTGTAGCATCCGTGGGTGCTGCATTTGGAGTGGTATTTTTGGCTTTTACATTATTTTGGATATCCTTTGGATGCTGATTTAATTGCCTTTGCAGGTTCGCATTGCAGGGACATGCACTTGTGCACAGACAACTGTCCAAGGCAGTGCCAGGAGGAGTCACTGTATATGCAGCCACTGCCCCCTGAATTGAAGTTTACACACAACTTCTCCTTGGGGACTCTTGCAGCGTGCTGAAAAGTCAATGAGAGTCTGGCCAGGGGCTTAAGTAGGATAACACTTGCCTCTTCTGTACCTCCACCCCAATGCCATGTTTTTTCCAACTTGCAGCCTGGAAGGCAGGGATGATAGTTACTCTCAAACCAATGTCTCCCATATGGCAGTTTGGCATGCCACCATCCAACCTACAGGAAAACAATGCCACTTTTATTTCTGCAGCATTTCCTTTAATGAAGTATTTTCAAAGTTCCCATACAGCCACATCCTTAGTATTTGCTTCTAAGGCCGTAATGTGAAAATTTGGTCTCTGGTTTTGATATATACACTGTAGTTGGATATGCTATGAGCAGAATCTCTATTTAAACATTTGCTATAAATTAATTATATGAAAACACACAACTCCATTATTTTTTTGTTGTTGTTACAAATTCAACATTACCAGATTTTAAACAAGTACCCTAAACAGACATCCATTGTGAATAGAAGCCTGCTACAAATTAGAATCTGTCCATCTATTTTAATTACACTGCTTTTTGGCAGGGGATATAATACGGAATAATCTTGACCTTTTTGAAGAACTGTAGAAAAGAAAAACCTCAAAAAAGTTGCATCCTTTATCTTAAATACTTGGAATAATTGGCACTCTGCGCATGGAGCTATGAAGCCCAAATGTCCACAGTCACAGCAAGAGGAAATATGGCCTGTAGCTTGGTCTTGGAAATCTGACTGTTTCTGATTTTATTATAATTTTTCCATTTACTGGTGGAGTAAGAACATCTGTGTATTTTCAGGAGGAGGAGATTCTGTAATATGGCAAGCAGTTGGAAAGAGCTTTTTTTGCTTGTTTGTTTGTTTGAATAGGACAAATAATGTCCATACCTTATTAAAAAAATATTCTACTATTGCTGCAAATATTTGTAGATGCTGTTGCAGCTGCATGTAAGTCTGCCCTCTTCTTTATGGTCCGATGTGGGACTGGAAGTTATCAAACTTTTTTTATTCTGTCAGTGAGGATAATTATGAAACAAAGATAATTAGGGCAGGAGCAAACAAAAGGAGGAAGAGAGTACTCTGCTTAGATCTTTTTGAACCTTTCTGTAAAATGTATAATGAGGAAATGACAGATACCTGCATACCTGGCATCATAGTACCCATCCTCAGAAATATGAGCCCCTTCCAGCCCCCATTTAGAAGAGGATTCCCAGAACAACATAAAGGATTGTCTGCTGCCTAACATGAGAAAATAGCAGGTGATGGGCTGATTCCCTTTGCTTTGTAGCATGGTCTAAAGCCTTGAGGCTCTGCTGCTTCTAAGCAACAGTTTGGAGAGTATCTTGAAGGACCCTTCCATTCCTTTACGGGTTTGTGAGTCCTACTCGTCATGCTCTGCTTGTATGTCCCACTTCTGTCTGCATGGGATTGGCAAGGTAAATGCAATACCCAGCTCTGTTCTATGAACCTTGTAGACACAGTGTCTTAATTTTATCACTATGCTGCTGATGAGACACATGGTACAGGAACAGAACCTTGGCATCTGAGAGAAGGTGGACAGCAGTTGGGATGATTTTTGTTCATGGTGGTCATGATGGTAAAGATTTTTGATGAGCAAGTAACACAAAAGGTGTTCTTTACCTGAAGATCTGGAAGCAGGAGAACATAACTGAGGTGGGGTGAATCCCTGTCAGGTTCCTGTGAAGTCAGGGGTGCTCTCTATCTTCCCAGATTTCAGTCTTCACTAGAAAATAGGTGAGAGGAATAATGCTGGAATGAGCAGATACTGGAGCACACAGAAGTCTGGACAAACTCTGTTGGGTTGTGCTGTTCAGCTCCAGTGAGCAGCACAGATATAAAGGGAGACAGAAATTCCAGCAGTCTCTCTGGGTTGAGCTTTGAGCCGCTCTGCATTTCTAGGACATGGAATGTACAAGGAAAACCCAAACAAACCAGAGAGCACCTCCCTTAGCTATCCAAAGTCTTCCTTAGGATTTGGGGTTATGATTGACTTTGTCCTTCTTTTTTCCTCTGAAACTTGTTATCCCCTTCAGCTTCTCCCTGAATCACTTTCTCTTAAAATCTGTATTCTAGGGATGACTGTCTTAATCCAAGAATCACAATCCTCCTTCTTCCTTCCTGGCCCCTTTTCCCCACTCAGCTAATAGCTTTTAAGTTGTACAACATAATTGCTGCTACATGCTATCTGTGAATGCAAAGTGTGTGGGACTGGAGAAGTCCTAATACCTTCCTTACCACAATTGGAGCCATCCCACAGCTAACATTGGCCTTATGTCAAATAATCCATTATCAGACCCAGCAAGCCAGCCCACACTGTGCTCGGCACATAAAACACGGAGAAGACGTCAGAGCAGTCAGATAGTGTTGCAAAGGGTCCCTGGATTTGCAGCAGAACAATCCTCTCCAGCTTTTTAAAACTGCCAATTATCACTGCTCATTTACAGTGGCAATTGAAGGCATGTATGTTTTGTAAATAATCTGGAGATTTCAGATACGGTCATCTTTTCCTCCGAGGGCAGTTGGGAACTGCAGTACTTCTGGCATGGTGCTACTGGCCTCGTGCTCTGGCTCCAGTTACCACGTAAGGGAGTCTCTTTGGAAACACTGCCTTAATAGCCTCTCTGAGGCTGCTGTTGCCTTCAAAGGCTTCACACTCTGCTTTCTTGTGCTTAGGCAGCAATTCTGTTGCTTCAAACTGTCTATGCTGATACAGGGATGCTCCTTGTGAAGAGAGGTTTGTGGGCTATATTCTCCTGCTGACCCCACTCCCTTCCAGGGTTGTTGATCTGGCAGCCACTCAGAGCTGCTCACTGCTGATCTGTGTGTCCACACAGTGTCTTTTGCACTCGCTGTCCTGCTGTCCTTTGTCCCTCTTGTTTGCCTATTGGCTGTTTGTTTCATATGCATTTAGCTTTTACTACTGTCCAGAGATTGTGAAATCCTTACGGCCAGCACTGCCTATGTTTACCAGCCCTGAAATCTGATCCCTGGCTGTAACAGCAAGATTCCTTACAGGAAGAAATAGTCAATAGGTACAAGAGAAGCCACTCAGCAAGCTTCATGCCAGACACCTTGTTTCTCTCTTTCATTAGTTTTGTTTCTGTGCCTCTTCTTCCCTCACTCCCCATGGGACTAGGTAGAGTGAGCAGAGCTTTCCCTAGAACAGAGATGGCAAAACTATGCCAGGAATACAAAAAGTCTGCAGTAATGCAACCTAGAAATGAAGTACCCCAACACTCAAACATTAGGAAATTGAATTAGTGCCAGACTCCTAGCAAAGCTAAATAACAGAGGGTATATAATCTACAATGTTACAGAGAAAACTGCAGCTCCCAGAAGGGACTTCCTTCTGATCTGCACAAGTAGCCTGTGCTTATCATGGCTAAGTCACAGCTGTGGCAATGGGAAGTACAAATTCAGTGCCTTCATCTCATTTGCTTTTGAAATAGGGTATTCCAGATTGTCTTTTGCTCAAAACTCCCCTCTTTTGTACATCTTGTATTCTGCATTGCAGCTTCACAGCAATACAGTCCTGACTCTGATTAAGATCTTATGCTGGAATTGCAGATCAATGTTCCTGGGAGTTTTGGGACCCTAATATTTCTCAGGAGAGGAATGTTTGTATCCATCCTGCAGGTACTCTGCACTGACTCCAGCTTGAACTCCTTGTATGGATTTCTGGCAAGATGGGAGCTTTACATAAAGCTTAATAATCTGACACCAATTATCACAGGCTGAAATGTAAGGCTTGGGTTAGCTTTATATGATGTAAGAAAAGTGTTGTGTTTTCTTTAGCCTGAGGCTTTGGGACCACTAAACTATGATACAAACTGAATTATTTAGAAGAGTCCTTGTACAGAAGAAACTAAGTAACAGGAAATATTGTGCCTGGCATGGTATGCTGTAAAATCTTTCTCAGAATGAGTGTCAAATAGCACACTTTCTACTGAGCAATGAAACTATCAGCAAGCAGGGCAGGGTTTCCCAAACATGTGCAAGAAAAGTTTTTTACTTATGCTTATTGCCAGATATTTTACAGACATATGGTTTTGTAAATGTTAAAAAATAATGTATGAATACTGTTAGGTTTGTGTGGTTTTTTAAAAATTTACCATCTGTAAAACCAGGTGCTTTAAGTTTACCCTGAGACCAACTGTGCAAACCTAAAGGGAGAAATTATAACTAATGGTTTATGGAAACCTCTAAAATTTTCAGATGTACTGTTTTTAAATTTCTGGTGGCAAATGTAGGATCTGTTTCTTCTATAGCGATGAATGGTTGGGAATTTCATTTCTATATCAAGACCTACTGACTGCAAACTATTGGAGCTCACAAACATGTCACTAGTGAATGCAGTGTTGCCAGTTGTGTGCCTCAGACAGGTGTAATTTTATGACAACCTTGATTTCATGTTGTTGTGATGGGGTTTTTTTCTAATCGGTAGTTCTTTGAGAGCTTTTACCAAGGAAGTGCTAGAAATCATCTTAGCTCCCCATCTTAATGTTAGTGGTGGATTAATGGAAAAATAGTGATAAAATCATCTGAGTTGTAAAATAAATAGTTTATTCAGCAGCTTCACAGTTTAATGTATGTGTATGTTCAAAATACCTTATGCATACATGTTTCATGCTTTAAAATGTGTCAGATTTGTCTTAGCTGCAGTGTCACGCACAAGTTGCTAAACTGCCAGGTTTTCTTCAGCTTTTGTGGTGCTAGCATGAGAAAAGCATAACATCAATTTAAATGGAACACATCAAGATAAGAACCATGGAGCATCTTTCTGGAGGGTTTATTATTTCAGGTACAGCTTTCCTGCACACAGATGTACTGTTTCCTCATCTTGGCACATCACTGTGTGATGAAGCCATAGGTTAAGGCCTCCTGTGCTTTAGGGATATGTAAGCAACACCCACTGGTCCTAAAAAACCCCACACAGTTGGGTCATCCACAGTCAACGTTTATAGCTGAAATAAAATGTTTTATTTTAAGGCATAAACCAATTGCCAACTGCTTGGAAGAAAATGTTAGACGGAAATGTTCCCTAAATGCATTTTCTGAAATTTCTGTGTGGTGTTCCTCGAGATTCCGCTTCCCAAGTGATTGGATTTGGCACACATCACAGAAGATTAAAAATAACTTCCACAGAACAGTCTTCTTTGGATTTGCGGAACCATGTAGACTTTAAAAGGAAAAATGGAAATGGGAATACATAGGCAGCCAGTTTAAATCTACTGGTTGTGCACTTTTTTAGTTGTCTTTTGTAGACCTCTTAGACGTAAATACTCAGCTGATCTCTCATTGACTTCATTGACTGGTTTAAAGTGAGCTGTTCTTTCTTTGTATTCCTTTTTCCCCTCTCATCTTGCTCCTTTTTTAATCTAGCAAAGGAAGGCATCTCCTTGATGTGTAAGCAAAGCTCAGCTGGCATTTATTGATTAGTGTAAACAAGAATGCCAAGTTTTCCCAGTATGCTCTGAGGAAAACGCCGATATTTGAATAATTAAAAAATGCCCAAAGCTCTCAAACTTCAGTCTCTGCTATTGTTTTGCCCGATCTATTATGCATTGAAAACCTAGATTGTGATTGATGAACTGCCCGTAGCAGTAGAGGGGAGATTGTCTGTTCTGTACGTAACCCACTGTGTAAAAGTAATCCTGTGTAAAATGATGCTGCCTATACAAAGGTTGTAGAGGGAGCATTGCATAATTTTTTGGTGTAACTGCTGCATTAGACAGGCAACATTCAGCAGAGAGCAAGTGCTTCCATTCTCAAGGGCTTAACAAATGTTGTGTCTTATACAACAATCATAAATCCCGTGGTAGCTAGTGATGCTTAATGAAAACTGTATTACAGGTCACCCAGGTTTCAAGACTCGGTAGATTCTGCTGCTCCATGCCTGAATGGAAGTCACCCAGCTCAGCACATCAAACAAGAATGCCCAAGTGATTATAAGGTTCCGTCTGAGACTTCCACACATAGGAGGATTACGGAGGGGATGGAGCTGAGAGCCTCTGGTAGTCTGCATCCTGAAATAGACCTAATGAATAATAGCTTTACAAATTCACTTTCATCCTACTTGTTTAATAATGAACATAGCTCCTCCCTGGGTCCTTTGTCACTTGGCACCCCTCAGCACTCAGCCAGGCTACAAACAAGCAACCTGAAGAAGAGATGCATCTCTGTTGTGCCGTCTTCAGCTGAAGGAATCGATATTACAGCTATCATCCGCACATCCCAGACGTCACTGGTCACCTGTGTGAATGGACTGCGAACTAATTCAGCTGGCATTTCCTCTCATCCTGTGGAGATCAGTCATCACAGTGCTCAAAAATCCTCTCGGCCACAGGCTTGCTCTCAGCCTGGAAACCCTTGCAGTATTCCCTCCCCTCCAGCATGTCTTGTACCTATTTCTGCTGAATGTGACAGAGTTGACTGTGAGCAGATACAAATGCAGCAAGTGGAGGAGAATGGAAGCCTCAGCCTTATGATGAATGGTAGTAGCATTCCTCATCAGAACACCTCCCACAGCTCCCAGAAGGTGAGTTTCTTAAAACAAGAGCCAGCTGACGATTATTCCTCCGCTGCTGACCTTTTCCGACATCATCAGGGGCTGCCTCCCCCTTACCATCTACACCAGCAACTAAGCCAGACTCCAGGGACATTGCCTCACTTACACGCCTCTATGTCTCCGAAGTCCCTTCAGCCCAGTGACGGGGACGAACAGGACCTCAGCAATGGCAAACAGGTCTGTCGGTGGATTGACTGCAGTGCCACTTACGACCAACAAGACGAACTGGTCAGACACATAGAAAAGACTCACATTGACCAGCGGAAAGGAGAGGACTTCACTTGCTTTTGGGCAGGCTGTGTCCGCCGATATAAACCCTTCAATGCTCGTTACAAACTGCTGATTCATATGAGGGTTCATTCTGGAGAAAAACCAAACAAGTGCATGGTAAGTCTGGAATATATTTGTTTGAATAGAAACATGCTACTCTGCTCTCCTTCTCTCTCTCTTCTCAGTCTTATTCCAATATAATTATTGTGTTTTCCTGTAACTTAGTCTGCAGCAGGCTAAAGGGGAATTAGAGAAAACCTTATTCTAGAAGGAAATGTTTGAGTAAGAAAAACTGTAGTTCTTGGAAAAGGGATTCAGTTTCCTTATATGAGAGCTTAACTTTTAATACAGTGCTTTATTTTTTTTTAATATTCATTAAAGCATTAATAAAGTGATGATCAAAGCACACAGCAGTCCTTTAACGTAAAACAAGTCACTGAGCCTCGGGTGACATTTTTAATCAAGAAACATAAAACACATCTAATGAAATTCTTTTCGTTCCTTCAGCTGAACAATAACCCATAGAGTTGTGAATGCAAAAGCTTCAAATGGTAGTTTAGAAAAGAAGAAGCTTGTTAAGGATTTCAAACAGTTAAAAAGAATAAAAGGAGTATCTTTAATTACATTTTCAAAGGTTTTAGGGGCTTTTTTAGTTTGCAAAACAGAGCTTTAAAAATAAGTAAAAAACCATTGTTCTCTTCTGATCAAGAAGATGTAAACAACATCAGTGTTCCAAAAAGAGGATCTTGGGAATAACACCATTTCTGCATCTGCCCACCATGATGACAATATGACAAAACTAAAATAAAAGTTAATGACTTCCATTAAGCTTTCCACATGTTTGAAACAACAATGATATAAGTCCCTGACTGAAACAGATGAAGCAAAACAAGTTTGACATAAGCTTCCAAATTGGGCCATGAAATTTGGAAAGTCTTACTTACATGCGCACGCGTGTGCGTGCAGGCACATACACACACATTCACTCACACAAAGAAGTGCAAACAAAGAGAATGGTTATGGCAGCAGGTTGTGGTTCTTGATAGGCAGAATTTTAGACTATATGTCTATTTTCTTGTTTTGGTCAGAGAATTATATAATGGAAAACGCTTGTAAGGAAGTTAGATCATGACAAATTTTCTGTGGCAAGCTGTAGCTTTCTATGGAGGAATAGGAAAGAATGTTTATATAAAAAGCTTACTTTTTTTCATTGTTCAAGGAAAAGCTTGCTGGCCTGCAATGGTTATGGAAGGGAGAAAGGAGAAAACAACTGTATTCAAAATGTTTTACAGAGAAAAAAATTCTCTGTAAGCCGTCATCCTGATTATTTTTTTGCTTCCATTGGATAAATAAAAACCCTTATCTTAATGTCTGCACTGTTCAGTCAGTATTCCCTAAAATAATATTGGGAACAAGGCAGATACTTAAAGAACACCATCAAGTTGTCCAAGATAAAATGGAAACACTCTAAGACTTACCTGTTTCTTTTTCCTTTGAGAGGAACAACTGACTTGCTTATTTCCAGAAGTAGCTAAGTCACAATTTTAAAAAAACTAGGAAGGAATTTAACTTCCTGTTAATATCTTCAGCTTATTGATCATAAATCATCAAAGGCTAATGCAAGTTAGTTGCCTCTATCCGAGCAAAATATAAGCAAGCTGTGAAAGCATGGTCTCCTACTTTTTGCTTTTAGTGGTTTTGCCATTTGGAAAGAGATCAGTCTTCTCCCCACTTTATCTCACACTTTTAAAACAAAATACTTAAAACGAGAAACTCTGATTAGCTTTACTGTGATGCTGAAAGATTCCACAGACTCCATGGGTGAGGGAACGTTTTTCTGCAAAATGTATTTGACAGGTATTGTATAGCAGATTTCTAATGTTACATTCCCATTCCTACAGGAAACCGGATAAACCAGAGATGTTAAATCACACAAATGCTAAAAATCTCCTCCTTTCAATTATGTTAATTTGCATTAAAGAACCAGCTTTTGATAACATCTCAAGGTTTAACATTGTGAATAGGCAAAACTTTTGCATCTGATATTGCAGACAGCCTTCATGGCACAAGTATATAGCCTTGTCATGTAAGTACATGAAGATCAGTTTTATTTGAGCAGATATCGTACTTGTTCCCATACGGGGAGTGGCCCAATCAGAATTAGGAGCTTTATGTTGCACAACTTGCAGTTAACTCTTCTATTCCCAGCATAAGACCCATCCACTGTCTGCAAAGGTATTCATATATTAAAAGTTACAACCTGGAGTATGGAATAAAGCTGGATCCAAGTGAGCACATGAAAAATATGTCTTCTTTGCAAATTTAGTTTTCTACCCTGAAAAGACCTTGATCTAGTAGGGACAAGATCCAAAGCTGCAACACAGCTCCTTAAAGTTACTAATATCAAGTGGGGATTATTTGCCCAGCAAATTCCATTCCACTTTAAACAAGGGTTGCTGTGCAGTGTTTCATTGTGTGGTGATGTCATGTCATTTTAAATGATGGCTTTTCTTTTGATGTGGTAATAATTGTGCTGTTATTCCTGCAAATTAAGAAGGCGATTCATTCCGTGTCTATAGAGGTCTGAGATTTTGTTTCATTTTTGCTGTAGCCCTGTTAAAGTAACTTTACATCTCTTGCTATTTGTAATGGAGATTTTCTTTCGCTGTTCACAATTACCCATTGTACATTCTTTTTAAGCTCTTGATTTTGTTCCTCTCTGAAAGATTACTGGCTGACTAGGTATTGAAATGGTCAGGAGAAGCTAGCAGTGAGCAGCACCCTGCCCTCAGACATAAAAGTACTTTTCCATGTAAAATTATTAATTTCTTATGACAGGCTTTGCTACTATGTACTGTAATAGACAAAGGAATTTTGGAATTCAAGCTACTTGAGAACAGGAAATACATGAGACATTTTGATTGAAAAGTAAATGGTTCACTAAAACTGCAGTTAATCCTTTTATTATCTTTCCAACAGCAGTTTCCACAATACTTTCATGAGGTAAGCTTCCTTCAGTCCAACTGTAACACTCTCATCGTTACAGCTGGTTTAAATTTAGCCAGCGTGCTTCTTTCTTTACTACAGACAACTGACAGGCAAAACATTATCTGGTGTAGAGAACTACTGATGTTCCGGGTCCATATTCTGCTCGCTATGTTTCCTTGCCAAAACTGGTACTATGAGTATTCTGTTTTCATATTCTGTTAAATATTCTAATTAAGTGGTGCCTTTTCGTCATCGTGTCCCTCGGTTTGATTTTTCCTTGAGCTCAGCAAGTAGTCTGAAGGAAACTACCTAATCTCTTTGCAATATCCTGTTATGTTTCATACTTAACTCATGTTATTTTAGTTTTATTAAATTTGGGGTTCATCTGCATTATAATCAAAAATATATCCAACAAAAATAATGATGCAATGCCTTTAAGACTTTAACTTCTGAAGATTAATTTCATGCTTTTTTAGATTTGATGTCCCAGACAATTGGAATTTTGATTGTCTGAGACAGCAAAAATTAGCAAGCTTAAATGGTTTTTATTTAAAAGGAAAAAAAAATTTCTCATAGCTGCATCTTTTATTGTCTTTCAGTTCTTCCAGTACTTTGGTGGGTAGAACCGTGCTGATCTCTAGATATTGCATCCTCAGTTTAAGCTTCTGTTTGCAAACATAGAGCTGCTCATTTAGTTGTCTGGCATTGTTTGATTTGGACAAATCCATACTTGGCTTATCAGTTTATCCTCTTGCATTCTTGTGGCTTCATAAAGAGTAGAAAATGGAGTTTCCACCACTACGTGGTGCATATATGCTCAGGAAACCTTTATTACAGACCTCCACACGTGATCAGAGGTAAATATAGAATCATAGAATGGTTTGGAAGATATTTTTAAAGGTCACCTAGTCCAACCTCCTGCAGCGAGCAGGGATATCTTCAACTAGACAAGGTTGCTCAGAGCCCTGTCCAACCTGATCTTGAGTGTTTCCAGGGATGGGGCTTCTCTGGGCAACCTGGGCTAGTGTTTCACCACCCTCATAATAAAAATATATTTTTCTTTATGTAGTTTCTATATATGCAATTGGGTTTATTGCAATTGGGTACCATAACATACTGATAGCTGTGAAAGGAGCTAGAGCATGATATTAACCATTGTTAGCAGCTCTAGTTCATGCATTTCAAGGAAACAAATGCCTCCCGAGTATGTTCATATGTCATACATCTGTATGACATCATTCTCCTGGCTGGATGATTAAGACTTTGAAGCAGAATATTCTCTTCTTGTATGTATGCAAACACAGTTTGGGAATAGTCTTGATGCAATGATTTGGGTGCTGTGTTGTGCACAGTGAAATTCAGCACTTGTGCCATTTGTAGTCAGTTCTTTTGTATCCCTAGGAGTGAGACAGTATAGGTGCTGCATTAAACATGGGGAAATTGAGACATAGAGGAGATAAGTAACTTGCCCAAAGGCATCTTGAGGCAATTCCAGCATTCCTCCACAGATCTTGTGTTCGTATCAGTAACGACACAAACTAACCATTTGCAGTTTACCTATGAAACACATTTTAGTAGAGATTATGCAGAAGATAGCAGTCTTGCTGAACTTCCTGCTGGTTTTACTGTACATCTCTGACGCAGGTGCTTTGACATGTCATAACCCTGTGAAAACTTTCATCGGAAGGATCGGCTACATTTGTAACACTTCACAGGCAGCAACCTGGTTATTACGATTGCAGGAGAAAGGGGCCTATTAAGCAGATTAGTATGACTGCATCTGCTGCTAAGGAAACCAGTGTGGAATCTCTGTTCTCAGTAGATAGCAAGTATTGTGCTGTCTGTGGTCAGTGGGGAGCATGGGTCTAGCAATGCACAGGGAGTAATGAGATCTCTACAGGCTGCATCCACAGATGAGGCTAAGGGACAATCCTGCATCTACAGGGAAAGTAGGTCTGCATGCACCAGCTTATGTGATTTTGAGTTTCTTCACCTAAACAATAAGTTTCCATGCTTTTCTTGAAGGAACGTTGTGGGAGTCTGGAAAGTTTTTTCAGCTCTTGGAATGGAGGGTGTCATGCACTGGTGCTGAAGGAGTGTTTTAAAAACAATATTAGCCTCACTTTTTT